GACTGGGGTTTGATCCCCGGCACCACATGTTGTGCCAGCCCTGCTCCTAGGGAGCCCTGAAACAGCCATTGAGACTGGTGGTGGCACGTACCTGTAATCCCAAGCACTTGGGAGGCTAAAAACAGGAGGGTTACTGTGATTCCAACCTGCGTCGTGAGACCTTGTACACCCTGTACTAAACATATTTTAAAAAAATATTTTCACAACATTTTTCTAGTTGAAATTAGCCATGTGTTCAGTACCTTACTCTACTGGTATGAAAAACTTTAATGTATTTATAAAACTTTTCTCAGCAATGCCAAACAAATTTTACTTTAATTGTAAAGAATGATCTGAAAAGGTGATGTCCTTCTAGTATTTTATCAGACTTATTTTCTTGCGTATATGTCTTTCTGTTTTTAAAATTAGGCCACTACACTTGACAATTTATTGTATAGAGTCTCTAGTAAGTTAGGACAACTGTAGCCACTGTTCTAGCTTCATATGATTCAGCATGTCTTAGTTTGTATTTCCATAGCTTTTCCTTTGTTTTAATGTATAACTGTAATGACAAAGACTTATTATATATGGATCCTGTGTCACATTGAATTTCTGGTAAAACACCATGGTAGATTATCTTACGTGTATCTGAAATTTTAAAACTGCTGGTGGTAGGTTTTTAGATACATACTAATTTCACAATTGATTGCTGCCTTTAAGTCTTATCTAAAGGAATAGCATTGTTCCATCAATAAAATTGAATCGAAAACAGTTGAAGACAGACACATTCATAACTTTGGTTTGCTGAGTTATCTCCAGTCAGATTTCTTTGATCAAGCCATTTACTGAATATAGCAGATGGTAATCCTGTGAAGTATCTTTCCTTTATGACAGCTGGAATTTGGTATTTTTGGAGTACGTTTTACTTGCTAGAATACAAAATTTGATTGCATACAGGAAAGGCTGTTTGTGTGTGGAGGGTTTGGTAGGTATGAGTGACCAGTGTCCTGTGTTTATCCTCCCAGTTTTATATGCTGTATTGACTTCTTTTTCTTGGGGAGAGGCTTCTGTGTATGATAGCTAAGCCCGTGGCCACACTGGTTTGCTGTTCTTACTGCATTTATTGTTTGAAGAGGTGTCCTGTGTCCCTCTGCTGGTCGTTTATCTCCCTCTTTCCTTCTTTTCATTGTTTGTCAGCTTATGAAATTCTCTACTGCCTCTGGAATTAGAGGGGTTCTGGCTGTAGGTTTGGCAGTGGCCATGAGAGAAGAAAGTAGGCCACTTGAGTCATCCCTTTCCCTCTAGGCAGACTTGTCTCAACTTCACCAAACTGTAATTGATGACTTGTGTGCTCAAATGCTGTAGGTTTTGCTAGTAGTTAAGACACAGAGAGGCCTGTGGGGTTATTTGCTAGCATGTTGGAGGAGAGTGAGTGGGGAAGAAGCTGTGAGGCAGCTGTAGGATCAACTCCAGGACGTGTGCTCTTTCCAAGAACAAGTGGTGGGGCCTTGAAAAAGGAGCAGCTAGACTACATCTGAGCTTTCATGAACTTGGGCAAGAAGTTTACCTGGTTCCTGAGAGTAACTCTCCAGTACCTTGAAAATTTGGTTTCCACATTTTAGCCTTTCTTCAGTGTCTCAGTCCTAGGGAATGGCATGCAAATGCACTAATTTCTAATTTGCTTGTGGTTACTTTAAAACATTAAATGTTTTTATGAAAGAAAAGAGCAGTTTGCTTTCCTTACATTCACATACCATTGCTTTTAAAAATGAAATTCTGAAACTTAGTGCTTGGTGTTTGCTGGAAGATATTTAGGATGATATACTTTTAAAAATGGGACACATGAAATAAAAATACCTATTGGGTTTTATTTCATTGGCTCCACTCAGAAAAACCATATATTTTATATATAAAAGGTTTTAGAAGGGAAGGAATATTTACATCTCTATATAAGTTAAATTATTGATTACCCTTTTGATTTGGTTGAATAGAAGTAATTTATTAGAAAGTCAAACGAGATTCAAGAGTGTTTGTACCATTTAATCATTGTTTAACTTTATTTTATCTGTCATTTAAATCTGTGTATCAAGGAACTAAAATTTTGAATTGATATGTGCATATAGAAGTAGGAATGGAAGAAAGTGCATGGGAATTATATAGTTTATCTTAACAAAAATGTCCCCTGCACCATCACTGTATTGCAACAGTTGTATTTGTTCTCCAGATCTTGGTCAATTTATGTAACATCTGTATTAAATTTACCTTCTGTGTTCAAGTTTATTCTGCTTACTTACTTTCATCTTAAAGGCTGAAGCTTTGGAAGGTTTATTGTTCCTGTACTCTTCTGTGGTTGTACAGCCATTGTCTTCAGCAGAAAAGACTCATTAATACAGAAAAAATGGCTTGCCTTTGTCGGTGCCAGCCACAGCATTTTCCTCAGTCTAGATATGTTAACAATGGAACTACAGAGCTCGCAGTCTAAACCCTAGTCAGTTCCTCATTGTTCTGTAGCACCCTTTGAGCTCCTTGCCATGTCCAGTAGCCGCAGTAGACAGTGCTCTTCAGTACGTGACTCAGCTACCTATTTGAATACCATTGTGTGTAATGTTTTCTTTTCCTTATTTTTTGGAGGGAATTAGGGTTACTTGGTGAAAATTGATTGTGTTTTCGTAAGAGTTTTGTGTCTCTTGTAAATTTTGTCTTGGGTTATCTGTTGTTAGTGCCCATCTCTCCAGTTTTCTTTTACACATGTATTTAAAATAGCACAGAAGCTTCATATTAACCATTTGCTATTAAACAAAAGTCAAGAAAAGCAAAAATTATGGCCTTACTGTATTTATTAGGAATTTTATTGTATTTTATCAAGGCAGGTATGATTTTTTTGTACATAGAGCTTTTTGTAAAATTATTTGCTATTTTATATATTACTGTATATTAGTAGCTTTTTAAAGGTTAGTAAGTTTTTCTCTTTGATGGGATATCACAGAAATTCTGTCTACTAAAAAAAAAAAAAAATGCTTATAAAGTAGTTCCCAGAGGACTAGTGATACTGCAGCGATATTAACAAAGCATGTTTTTATGTGATGCTACCTGCATGTATGCAGTCTTTCTTAAGTTTGGAATCTAATAGGAATTATCCAACAATGAATGAAGCATTCTGTATTCTTATATATAATCTGTTTTCAAAGCTTGTGACTCATTGGATTGTTCCTGAACCAGAGTTTCCTCTTATCAGCAGAGCACCTGTTCCAGCCCCCTACAGGTGCTTGAAATTGTGGAAAGCACCAAGACTCACATGTAATGTTGTTCCCTATACATGCATATCTGTGATAAAGCTGAATTTATAAATTGTGCACAGTAAGAGATTGATAACAATAATAAAATTAAAAATTATATTAGTATGATATAATAAATGCTACTTAAAATTTATAATTTATTTTTTTGTAGTATTTTCCATTTAGTATTTTCAGCTACAGTTGACCAGAGTAAATGAAACTGCAGGTCCAGGGGATTACTGTACTATCACTATGTTAACTCTTTTCTAAAAAGCTATTAAAATGCTTAATCACGTGATATGGGAAATACAGATTCATGAAAAGAATCAGCTAAGGTGCTAATGGCTAGGTGAATAATTAGGACAATCTGTTTTCTATTATTATTATTTATTTATTAATTTATTTTTGCGGAACTGGGGATTGAACTCAGGCCCTTGCGCTTGCCAGGCAAGCACTTATTCTACTGAGCCATCTCCCCGGCCCCAGGACAATCTATTTTAGAAACGAATCCTCCCTCCTTTTTCCTGGTCTTTATCATCTGTCTGTCCAGTTGGGAATTTTCTTCTTTTAAAGAGGCCTATGAATCATGCCAAGTTATTAGAGCACTTGTGCATTTTATTTATCGCACACCACATTCTCATCTAAATCTCAGAGGACTTCCGGGAATACGTGGAAAAGGAGAGAGATTCTAACGTAGCAGAGTGTTGTCACTGTAACGTCTAAGGGTTTGGCATATGCAGAACAGAGCCAGTGTTTTATATTTATCACAGAAGCTCTGACGAGGTTGGGAATCCTGCAAATCAAGGAGGAAAAATACTAGTCTTTAAAATAGAAAAGGGGGCCCACCAAATAACTGAGCGGATTAAAGCTCCTGCAAGCAGGTGCAGAGGCCAGGGGTTCAATCCCCGAGCCTACCATGCCAGCCCCATCTTTGGTGTGTGCTGAGATGGCAATTGAGACTGGGCATGGTGGCGTGCGCCTGTAATCCCAGCTCTTGGGAGGCTGTAAACAGGCGGATCACTATGAATCCGATCTAGTAGTGAGACCTTGAACACCCTGTAGACCCTTCCCTAAAATACAAAAAAAAAAGAAAAGAAAAAAAGAAAAAAGAAAAGAGAAAAAAAGAAAACACAAAAGGTAGAAATCACTGCATTGAGAGATTCCCAATTCTTCCAGCTTTTTCTAGAGACTGAGACAGAGATGAAAGTAACCTAAGATTCAGAAGGTTCATTAAGGAACACAGTGAATATGTTTTGGGTAATAGTTACTAATCTTTTCTCACTTTGAATTTTTCTTGGCAGCTTTCATAACATCTGCATACTTAGAATTGGATTGCGTATAGTTTTAGTGGAAGTTGAAGTATTACCTGCAAAGTCACTAGACTCAGTCTTAATATAACTAATGTTGATTTGATAGCGTTTGGTGTAGTTTAAATTAGTTTGTAAATATCTACTCACTGTTCGGAAACCACTTTTATTAAATTTTGATTTGTTTGACTTGTTCCTTTTTTTATAGTGTTAGGAGCTAGATTCTACATTATTTTCATGTAGGCAGTACTAAGCTAGAGAAAGTTTGAGTTTCATGCAATAGTAGAAACAGCAGTGGGTGGGAACAGAGGTAGACTGGGTAGGAACAGCTTCCAGGTAAGTATTTGTTGCTTGTGTATATCTCCTCTGGTATATATATCCTCTGCTTTACCAAAAATGTTCATTAGAACATTTTTTCACTCTGTTTTTCTCCCTTTAGGTATGGATGAACGTGGAGGCACAACATCTTGGGGAACAAGTGGTCAACCAAGCCCCTCCTATGACTCATCTAGAGTAAGTTTCGTATCAGCTCTTGATTAGAACTGTCAATGTAGTTTGGCTGAATAAGTAAATTCTTTCATATATCAACTATTCACAAGAAATGGAGCTTAATTCATTTTTGAAAATAGAATATCCAATATCTTCATAGTACTAGATTAATTTTTTTTTAAATAAGCTGTCTTATGGGGGGAGGGGAACGGTTATTGTATCTCCTATACTTTAAAAAGTACTCCTGCAAGGCATGGTGGAACAAGCCTGTAATCCCAGAACTCTGGAAGACTGAGGCAGAAGGATCACAAGTTTGAGCCCAGTCAAAGAAAATAAAAGGGACTGGGTCTGAGGCTCAGTGAGAACGTCCTGGGTTCAGTCTCTAGTACTTGGTATGTGGGTGGATATAAACATCTGGTGTTGTTTCTGTCCTTGGACCATTTGCAGCGCTCTTGACTGACAAGCTGTGTGTGGCTCACCTGTTGCTCTCTGCACCTGCATGCCTGTGTTCTCTGATGTGTTTATGTGCTCTGAGAGATGGCCAGTCACTGCCAAGCACCGGTTCTCTGCTGCTGCCCCGCCCAGGCCTGACAGCAGTCAGCAGCTGACCAGGGGTGCTGTTGCCCACCCTTTGGAAGCATATCAGAACAGACATAAGAGCTGGCAGTTTTTGGCTAACAGTTAAATAAAATCGAGCTAATGTCCTATGTGGTGAAAGGCCAAAAAATTAGAGCCTTTTCCAGCTACCCCCTCTAAAAATCTCCATAACATTTAGAAATGATACTGGAAAATGGAAAATTAGATAAAGAATTGCAATGGAATTAAATAATGCTTGCTCCTCAGCTGAGTAGTAAACCAATGAAGTTAAAAAACACTTTCCCAAAAAGATCATACTTTCAATCATGAATAATTTTTCATTTTTCTGAGAAGATAGACCAGCATAAAAATTTATGGATACTTGACCCTATAAGCAAATTGGCTTAAGAAGTAGAAGAAAAACTGAATATCGTAATCTCACTGTGGGTTATACCCTTTGTTTTGACAAATGTTGCAAAATGTTTTTAAATGAGATTTTCTGGTATATTTGGCCATAACCAGTGTTCCAAGTTTTTTTTTTTTTAATACTTTTTAGTGAAACTTGCTATCATCCGTAATTTATTCTATTTTAATACTATTTTATACTTTTTAAAAAATGGAAATAATTTAAGAAAACTTTATGAAGCCCTGAGATAGTTATATGGGAAATCCCCCCCCCCAAAAAAAAAAAAAAAAGAATCAGAGATGGTTAAATGTGGGATTTTGTATTTCTCTTTTGGACATGGAAGGCTGAAAAAGTTGAATTATGGCATAAACAGTAGTTCTGGGCATCTCAAGATTTGGGCTTTACCCTCCACTCTGCTTGAACTAGCTGCTTCATCTTAAGGTGCATGAGTTTATGTTGAGGACAGGTACACTGCTTAATGTTGAAATTTGTTTTCTCTTAAAAGTTTTGATTTTTTGAGTAATACTGTAAACAGGTTGAGTAAATTTCTTGCTTATATTTGCAGATAGCAGTTTTATGTAGTGGAAGTCACAGTGCAGCACTTACTAATATTTATTAATACGACTGGAGTTCTTTCAGATGCCTGAGTTACTATAGTAGCATGTCACTGGAGTGCATTAAATGGTTCCCTTGAGCCAGTAGTTGCCTTTGAGTGCAGCTTTCTTTTCTGCTTCCTTTGTATTTGACCTTTCTATTTCATAAGGTTTTAGGAGAAAAATGTCATAAACTGTATCCAGACACTTTTGTAATTCATGAACCTGAAATTAAGTATGTCTTCAGAAATAAAAGCCAAAAATCCTGCTTTTAGGTGTAGATTATATACAGTGAAAAGTTAAAATTGATATACTACCCCAGTATTCTGCCTTAAAATTCAGATTAATCTCGAGGTGTTCTCAGCCTCCTGTGGAACCCCATCCACATTCCTGCTTGTCCCTGGAGAGCTCAGAAAATGATGAATCAGTGCCGTCTGGTTTTGTTGTCCCACTGAAGTTCACTCTTCAGTGTACCTCCTTGTGTCCTAGCCACCCTATAAACCTGATGGTTTTCTAAACTAGTTATGTTGTTGATTGGATTTGTTTTGTTTAACAATTACCTGTGATCCATTTTCAAACTACTATAGTTTTTCTTTTAGCTTTTTTTACACAGAGAGACATTCATGATCATCTTTATGGTCTCCCTCATTATTCCTTTACAGGAAAATTGTCAATCTCTAGCTTTTCTTTTTCTTTTCTTTTCTTTTTTGCAGAACCGGGGATTGAACTCAGCCCCTTGCGCTTGCCAGGGAAGCACTTATTCCACTGAGCCATCTCCCTGGCCCCTAACTTTTCATCATTAAATATTTCACTATCTTGACCATGTTTTCATAATCAGAAGCCAGATACCTCAGCTAATTAAAGCGCCTGCTTAGGTAGCCGCAGGGACCAGAGTTCGATACCCGGCGTGTTGTGCCCACCATGCCCCGCTCCTGGGGTGCACTGAGAAGTGAATTGAGACTGGGCATGGTGGAGCACACCTGTAATCCCAGTGCTTGGGAGGCTGAAAACAGGAGAATCACTATGTGTCTGATCTGTGTAGTGAGACCTTGTAGACCCTGTACTAAATACATTTTTTTTTAAAGGAAGCATAAATGGTTATAGTAATCCATTTGGGTGGAATACATCATTGTTTTAGCACATTGAGGTTCTTAAAAATTGAGAAATATAACAGCATTATTGAATTTATAGTGTGTAGCACTTTGTTTCCTTGTGATTTAAAGGTAAAATGCATAAGTAAACCTATGTAAAAAATTTCAGAAATAAATGTTGGCTGGAAAACAATTTTAACACATTAGTAAAATAATTCTTTTAAACTTTAATGAGCTTGCAGTACTTTTTATTTAAAAATTTTTGTTTTTTAATGTTTTATTTATTTGGTGCAGCATCTTGTTACACAGCTTGCACTCCTAGTAGTCTTCCTGTTTCATCCTCCCCAGCACCGGGATTACAGGCATGTGCTACCATACCTGGTTTCAGGGACCTGTGTGTGGTACCGGGGATTGAACCTGGGTCTCCATGCTTGCCAGGCAGTAGCCTAGACCACTGAGCTATCTCCTAGCCCTTACAGTACTTCCATAGAAATCTTGTAGATTAAATTTATTTACACTTGCTGTTATTGTATAAATACATTTCCATCATAGCAAATTACATTATTCAAGAATAATTTGTTTTTCAGTAAAACATTTGCTTTACTTTTTGTGAGATTTGAAAAGGCTTAGGTCACACACTTGAAAAGATACTGGACAACTAAACTATTAGTGCTTTGTGGAGTTACAGAGCATGCTTTTAATTTACATGGATTGAACTCACTGAGCTCCTGTTTTTCCCCTTCTTGCCCCAACTCAAAACTCTATGGGAGAAAGACTTTGCTGCAGTAATGTAAAACCACATCTGGCTCAGGAGCCCTATTGATAGTGCATGTCGCAAATGTGTTAGTGTATAGGAGTGACTACATGGAGTTGTGTAGGTTGAACTTAGGGTTTAAGTTTTACAAAGGAAATTTTTGTTGTGTGCACTTTTCTACTTTAGAAGTACTGTCTTTAACTCCAAAGATCCTGTTCAGCTCTAGTAGTCTTTGTGTTCAGTTCACACTTACCCAGCGTGCCTGGTCTCACATACTTTACCACAGCAGAAAGGTCTGCATCAGAGCTCCACCTGGGGCTGGCAAGCCTTGTTCATACTTTGTCACAGTTGAGAAGAGGTTAAGTTCTTGGTTGTCTGACCTATTCAAACCCTCATTTAGTGAAATGTTTTTGTGAGGTAGTTACAGTAATTGCAGTCATAGAAGAGATGATAGACATATTCAGCATTCTTAGGAAATTGGATTTGATCATGTTTGATCATGTTTGCAATACTCAGAGGGAAGAGTATTGTTTGTGGTTTGTTCCTGTAGACTTCGCTATCTATGATAGAGTTGTTTCTGCACTCTTGACCCTTCTGTCCACTTGTGCAGAACAAAAAACATATACAGACAGATAAAGAAGCATTAAAATATGAAAAACACTTCCAGTTTTATAAATTTATGAAAGTCCTGATCAAGGTAAAGTATCAGAGACAAATGAAGAATTTAAATTGCAAGTACGTAGACATAGGCAAGAAGTATAGTTCATAAGTTTGTTCCTTTCCTATCTTATTCTTTAGTGATTTTTCTGTAATTAATATTGTACCAGCTACAAAGGCCAGAAAATAGTTTTTTGCCTTGTTTACTGTAGTGTTAATGATTTACTCTAGTTTTAGAGACTATTTTCCTCTTACTGCTGGTGTAATTCTCAATAGGTTATTTAAACTCTTTGTACTTTATTGATCTGTAAAATAGCAATAATAGCTACTTCATTACACTGTATTAAGTGAGACTTGAATAAAAAGCACTTATAGGGCTGGAGAGATAGCGTGGCGGTCTAAGCGCCTGCCTGGCAAGTGTAAGGACCCAGGTTCGATCCCCGGTACCACATGACATGCGGCTGTCAAAACTGGGCATGGTAGAGCACCCCTGTAATCCCAGTGCTGGGGAGGCTGAGACAGCAGGATTGCTATGAGCTGCAAAGTGAGACTGTACCAAATAAATGAATGAATAGGTTTTATTTTTAAAGTGCTTAGTGCAGTCAGTGTCTTACAGATATTAAGTTCCATGAGAGTATTGGCATTACACTTATTTCTCAAAATTCATAAGATCTGTGTGTAACAGTTACGCAAATGTAAATGGATGACTATATTTGCAAGTATGATGTATTCTCTGTGTAACAAGTAAGAGTTATTTGCTGATGTAATCATGCTTAGTATACAATGTAACCATTGCTTTTAGATTTGTAAACGACATGAAGTCAGTTTTTGTTTTATTTACCCATTTTTTCCTTGGGAAAGCAAAAGTTTCTTCCTGGTAATCATTATTGTAGAAGTTTTTGTCCCTGCCTAATGCACTGCTTTATATATAGTGATGCTGTGTAAGT